CTGCCCACACGCAAAATACGCGCAGAGACGTGGAGTTGCGGAAAACAGCCCGTTGCAAACTAAACTAAACTAAACTAACCCGAACAATGCCTCAGAGCATGCACATTTCAACATGCTACATTTCTTGATTCCAAAAGAGAGCCATTTTGGTTTTTTTTCTAATTTTTAATTTTTAATATAGAATAAAATATGTTATAAAATAATCTAAATAAATCATAAAACAAAGTGAAAGCTAAATATAGCTTCATTAGTTTAAAAAACCTTACTGAATTTGAGCTCATTAATGCATTCTTTAAACTTTCTCAAATTACACTCAGAATAATTACGTTTATATGGGAATACGGATGAACCTAATTCCAAAAGGTCAGATTTAGTTCCATGTATGTTATGAAAGATGTTGTCATTACAGGAACCACTGCTTAGTCTTGTCGATTTTTTGAATGTTTGTTTTATGTGGCATCCAATAATGAAATGCTCCAGCTCCATGGCATTATTATTCTTTTCCAGAATATCAATACTTCTAATGGAGCTCGAATTCGATCTTACAATACCTATACCACGGCTCTAAAAGCGAAGTCGATATGAAGTACTGGCCTATGAAAAAACTATTTTTCGTTTTAAACAAAACCAAAGACAATATGCAATAGATAATAGTATCAAAGACAAAGATATGCTCTTTTATTTTAAACCATAATCTGGCAATGTTTCTTAGAAAAAAAAAAGAAATCACTCTGAACTTTCGGTATATATTACTCTACTCTATGACTTTCGGCGTTCCACATGTCGCATTGATGAAGGTGCTCCGTCTTTTTTATAGAATTTTATATTGGTGTCTGGACTAAAAACGAAAGTATTATACTTTTTTATATTCCCTGTAATATAGTAAACACGTAGATATATAATTTGTGGTATAAAAATTGAAAAGTAAATTGCCCAAAGTACTTCGAAATCCGGAAGGCCCATTTTGGCGGTTGGGTCAAAAATGTGTTATTTTTCCAATGCTCATTTATTTTTAGTGTAAAATGTAAGTAAAAAATAGTTTTCTAACATATTTCAAATAACTTGACGTTGTATTTATTTCAAATTCACACAAAAATATTTTTGAAATATTGTTCGAAATGTCATACGGATAAATATTATTATTTTTTTATTTTTTTTAATATCTTGGTATGAGTAACGAATAGAAACACATAAAACATAAAAATATACATATTTCCAAACATTTTCATATAAATTTCTCCAAAAACAAAAGTGTAGAATTCAAATTAGTAGTAATTTTGGCACTAAAAGTGAAGTATATACTACTACTATGCTATAAAGGGTAATTTATGAATTTTATTACAATTTCTAGCAACCAAAAATAATTTTATTCGATAGTTTATACATTCAACAAGAATTCCTGTAAGTTTTATCCATAAATATTGTCTCAAAGTGAAAATATAGCAAAATTTGCAATATAGCAAAAAATTTGCTATCTTGGTTATTAAGGTCCCGAGCGAACGGGAGTATAACATCATGTCGCGAGCTGTCAGAGCTTACAGTCACCATAGATGACCATTTTTTTGTGGCATTTTTAGTCAAAATACATAGAATGTCATTTAAATTATTAAAACATATGTCAAGATATTTACTGGAGTTTTTGCTATTTGGTACTCTGTATACACAGAGTATAACCATTTTGGTTCGGCGGCGTCCATGTCTATGGCGGTCAGATACTTCAAAGGCGTTAAATTCAAAAAATGTGCTGGAGTTAGAGCCAGCGGCTCCGAGGGGTCACTTGACAACGTACGACAAAGGGGGCGACTATTCACGACGCACTCAATTTGAGCGAGCACAGTACTTAAATCTTCGAAGGACAAAATTTGATCTCCTATTACTCGGTATAAATGACTCTTTAGACTCTTAATATTAGTCTCCCAATTTCCCCCAAAATGGTTCGCGGCCGGGACGTTCAGAGACCACTCGATGCGGTTCTCGGATAGGATGTGAGCGAACTCTGAATTATAATATTTACTGGTTAGAAGCTCATGCAGTTCTGATAAAATACGTTTCGCGCCGACGTAGTTTGTACCGTTATCCGTATACAATTTACTTACAGGGCCACGGCGGGAAAGAAATCTTTTAAACGTACCCATGAAGCCCGCTGTGCTTAGATCACGAGACGAAAATGCAGACGTAAGCTTTTGTGGATCTTATACCACGCCCGCGAGTGAGCGTGACCTTAAACGGACCAGCAAAATCAGACCCGGTGTGCATAAAGGGCTTTACGGATTGTGTTACTCGACAAGACCTAAGGTCCGCCATTTCTGGAAATGACGGCTTAGGACGTACTCGAAAGCAAGCTATACATCTGTGCACCCTATTGCGGATTAAATTACGTGCTGAAAGAATCCAATAATTCTGACGCAAGATTGACATCAGCAAGTCGGGGCCAGCGTGAGAATTCAATTTATGGTGGTAATCAACTAATAAATTCATGATATGTTCCTTAAGCGGTAAAACTATATGGTGCCGTTGATCGAAACTCAACTGCGAGTTAGACAAGCGTCCACCTACCCTGATGATTCCATCTTGTAAAAATGGCTTAAGATGTTAAAACGCGCGACTACAAGTTCTATTCGATTTTAATTTCATCGGAAAAATGCGCACGTTGAAGTTCACGTAATACTAGCAACTCGGCACAACTACAATCGTACGTAACGATATACGAACAAACACTACTTATCGACTTTTAAACTACAAAGACTACACTGTAACGACAAAAAATGATTTAAAGTTTTTGTGTTACACAGCGTATTGCTGTGGCGCGGCTAAACTATACTATTTTAATTTTATTTTTATGGAATACTAACAAGCTAAACAAACACTAAGAAAATATAAATATATAATTCTATCAACGACAAACTATTATTTAAATAATAAAACTATCCAATCACAAGTATGCAATTTCTAAGCGACTAAACTATAATTATTAATAAGCGGTAAAACTATGCGATGAACGCTTCGGAACAACACTGCTTATGGCTTGTTGCTCGCGAAGCCTCACTTCCTCCCGCCAAGCAAAATTGGTCTCAGCAGGTCTAGCCTCCAGTGAGGCACGCTTTCTGTCGCAACGGCTCGGCGTCTACATGCGCCGCGACCGTGACCTCGATCCGCGCCGCGCCCGCTTCCGCTAACGAGATCGATTCGAGTCCCGGGTTGCGAAATACGTGCACTGAATATGTCACCTGACGGGTTGCGTAGCAATTTAATCTTGCTAATTTGGGCCTTGTTCGCGGTGTCGGTAAACCTAGCTCCAGGGCTATCCCTACTCGGCGTTCCCTTCGGCTGCGACGAAACTACAACAGGTTTGCTAACAACAGACTCTAACGTCTTGCTTCTCGACCCTTCACATAATTTATTACCCGAGCTAAGTAAAAGCGGGATGTTCCCCTCCTCTATTTCCCGAAAATTGCGAGTCAATAATTCGGGAGGTTCGACAGCGACGATGCAACAACAGGATGTTACAGAAATATTATCCATGATAGGGGCGGAACCAACGATGACGTAGCCCAAGACGGTCTCCAGTGCGTAAGGAGAGCCTTGTGTAACAAAAGGTGAGGAAAAAGCGATGCTCCAATGAGCATGTCTATATCTCCGGGGACGGCGTAAGTATCGTCTGCCAGAGTCAAATTTTCAAATTCAATCATTGCCGAGGTGTCGACCGAAACGGTTGGCAAACGCTCGGTGACTTTATCTACTACTAATGCATTTATATTTAAAGTTAATATTATGATCTAGCCGAGAATAAAATTTCAAATTTATGGAGCCCTGGGTAATTTTATTAGTACCTCCGATGCCTTTGACTACGGGACATGAAGGTATCTTATTTATTAGCAATCCTAAACGCTGGCAACATTTTCGCGTTATAAGGCTACTCTTTGATCCGCTGTCTAGTAACGTACGGACACTTTGTTCGTTTCCACGCGAATCCCTAACTACGATACGGGCTGTACCCAGAACGAGTATTAGTGCACAGGGCGACGTCACCCGGTCGACCGCTAGAATCGTCGACTTTAGTATGTGTAGTTTCCTTGTCTGATTTACTCGACGCGAATACGTTGCCACCTTCGAAATGTAATAACGTGTGATGTCTGCTGGCACATTTGTTACACACGGAACTAGAATTGCATTTAACAACTAAATCGTCATAGTCGTAGAATAGTGACGGATCTGACAATTATTAAACTTTACAGGGCAGCCATTTCAAATAATTATGTTAGATTTTTTGACATAACTTTTTTAATTCTAAATCTGTAATTATGAAAATTGGCATATCAGTTTAAAATGGGTTTTATTTTAAACTGGAATAAAAACAATAACTCTTAATTATACAGTTTTCCGGAAAAACCACGTGCTTCATTTTTCTTTGGAGTCAAGACAGTCACATAGTATTATCCGACATTTTTCTTCGGAAAGTTACTGTTCAAAGAATGACGGATTTTACTTTCCAGTCATTTTCTACTGACTTAGCGAATAATATTTTGGCGGATTTGTTATCTGTTATATTCTAGTTTGACCAAACTTAGTAGAGTAGAGTAGAGAGAGAGTAGAGTAGTAGTAAGAAGTTAAGCAGGTGTTCGATAAGTAAATAGTACAGTAGCTAAGTAGGTTGGGGTAGTTAGGGTATCTTATAAATAAAACAGACTATTTGGTCTAGTCTTTATACTGAATTTGTATTAAAAAATTATAAACAACATTATTTTGTACTAAATAGATTAAGAAGACTATAATGTTGAAGCTATTTGGACCTGATTTCTTCCTTTTTGGTAAATTACTAATCTAAAACTTAAACACTAACCATTTGTTAGCCAAGTTATATTATCACAATCATTTTTATAAGTAGATAGGGTAGTAAAAACGTTAATTAAATGAATAAATCCTTAAAAATCACAACTTCAGAGATCAAAACAGTAAAAATTAAGTAACTAGGATTAAACACAATTCTTTAGCACAATTATTCAATCAGATTCATTGTTATTACGAGTATCAGAAACATTACGCCCATGAGGTAAACTTCTGAAATAGTTATGATATTTGGTAGGTATTATTGGAGAATCGCAAAGGCTAATAAGATCCTTATATTTATCATTACTGATTGGAATTGGCCCCACGTAAGCTTTATGTAAGATTGGATTATTGTATTGTCTAGTCTCCTTTCGAAGTACCAGGGTCATGTAGTCATCAGATAAAGCATATTTGTACCGGATTTTACTGCTCTGAGTTCCATCGACACAAACTTCTTTTATGCTTGTCCAAGTAACTTTGTTGTTAACTGTTTTTTTTACCCATTTTTTATTTTTTAGCTGATCTTTAAAGTCAAACACTAAAGACTTATTTACGTCTATGACTTCATAAGAATCACTTGTTACTTTAGCCCAACGTACATGTAATTTCCATTCATCTGGTGTATAAATTGTTGCTCAGCAGACCTTTCTACCACACTGTGGACAGAATCCCCCCTCGTTTTGGGTGTGGCCTTTTTCAAAGAATCTATGTGTTATAGTTATATCATATTCTGTAGCTACATGAGCATACATAATAAACACTATGCGATTTCGATTCTGGCCAGCGCAATTGTCTGACCAGAATCGAAACTCTTTCACACCTTCTGATACAAACTTCTTTATGAAATCATCTAATTCGTTGGCCCCACGTTTGGCAACACTTTCATCCCACATATAACAATAACTTGTTAATGCCGATAAATATCGTATATGGTGAAATTATAACATGACAGCTTTCGCTTGTAATACAATACACTCATTTGCCCGTAAGGACATGACAAAACCTTCTGAAAATCAAAGGTAGCACAAACTATACGTCCATTAGAATTAACAGCGTCATTTTATCATTCTGTTTCAAGATCCTAGACACTTTTTTGCTATTTAAATGGTTTGCATACTGTTCTTTAAGTTCATCAGGCGGATTTTGTGTTAGTTTAAAACTATGGCACTGAACACAAGTATCCTTTTTGGGTAGATGAAAACTCAAATTAAAATGACTGTTAACTATGTCTCTGTACTGTCTAAGACTGGAAGCTGTATTTGAATAATAGTTAAGTTCTGGCCAATCTTTGTATAAATTGAACATCCTAGCGATAGCTGCTCAAGTCACCATCTAAATACAGTCGTTTGGACGCTGCTCTGTTATAATGAGATTCTACAGGTACAAATGAATTAATGTGGGCAAAAACCGACTTTACCATTTCATCGTCAACAACCCGATTATGATTTTTATGTTTCCTCCTCATGTCTTTTTCTATTAAAGTGCTTCCGTCATATTTATTTCAAGCTGTCCGAACTAACCTTTCGCTAATCGAATACGTACTTAAAAACATGGTTTTACAAACCTCTATTTTTGATGAGCCCTTTGGCAAAAAATAATTGTAAGTAAATTGACCGTTATGCTTTAAATCTCTTTGAAGGCCCCTTTTCTTCTTCTGTTTTGTAGTATAATTCGCAACATGCAACCATTGTTTCTCACAATCACCTAACTTCCAAAACTTTTCAAATGCATCCTGTCTTTCTTCGAGAGTCAACATAGTGTAACATTTATATCTACACGTGCAAGGCCTACCTATAGTTTTTGCTTGAACAATAACGCCCTTTTTGGAGATGTATTCTTTTCCTGCATTTGCTAAGCGTTTTCTTTTAATTTCTTCCCAATCGTCATAATTTCGGACACGTTTTTTACCTCTACATCGAATAAGAGGCGCTGAAGAAAACTGGTATGAAGACACAGCTGTGCTTGTTTGATTGACAGTTGCTATGTCTGCACCACCGTGAGTGGAACAAAAAAAGTCATTACATACCTCACCATGAGTTTTTACTGGTGATGGCATAGGTGTTTCTCCATTGTTGACAACAGTCGGGGTAATCGGTTGCGGGAAAGGTGACAGGTCTGATATCAGGGTAGAAGTATTTAAAGGGGTTAGAGCTGAAGTGATATTTAAGAGGGACACGACACCATGCTGATTTTCTGACGCGAGTAAATATGGTGAGGATGCATTTTCATACACGGCCATAAAAGGATCTTCTTCAAGAACACAAGTAGATGATGGTATGTTCGGGTCCATATTTTCATTTGTTCATTTTACGATTTCGCTTGTTTCGTGTACGTCATCTAAAAAGACATCTTCACAAATGTCGTTCATCTCTTCTATTACGTTGCGTGCTCCTGGAGGTAATGGCGAATGGCATTTTTTTTATATAGGATAGGGTGACAATCGAGCACACAGTCCACCTGATGGTAAGTGGTTGCTGTGGCCCATAGACATCTACATCTATCCTCGATTACGAATCAAAATGCAGATGTGTTGTCACCCGTTAGGACTAAGATGGAATGCCTCGTTTCCAGTAAAATGGGTCGCCGGTTCTCTACAATCACCATACGAAATACAGCAGCATTAAGCTACTATTTCACGCTGGTATTCTGTGAGAGCGTGGTCCTACCCCGGTCGAGCCGACCCATTCGTGCTACAACTATACATCTAATATAACTGCAGCATGGCTCTACCACATAAGATTTCAGTATTCTGAAAAGATATCAGTACATGTAAAAATAAATAGATTATTAATATCACAGGTTAACATATACTAAAAACGGTAAGACTATTCATAAAAAAAGATTAGAAAGTATAAAAAAGTACTTCTTTTTATTAATACAGGTAAATTTTTACTCAAATCCGATTATTTTTTAAAGAAAAATATATTATATATATACAAATAATCATAGTTTTTCAATAAAAAATGGCGGAAGTGAATTTAGTTCAAAGAAAAAAGTGGGATGATCAGATACGACCGTTAGACAAAAAAGCGTGTCCACAAAATACCGGCGTTTGTAACCACGTGTCACTATCATGTCCATAGAAAAATGTAATATAGTTATATACAACTTTTTTTATTTTATTTAAATTTTCAAATATAACAAAAACTCAACATACTCGTAATAATACAACTTTTTTATTTTATTTAAATTTTCAATATACTCAACTATGTAATAATTGTAGTAATATCAGCGAGCAAATATTATTTTTATAAAAATTACATTTTATATCGATTTATATTTTCCGTAGAAAACCGACGGATACTCAGAACCGACGCTTTACTTATTTACTTTGCAAAATATGTGTAAACACAAGAATTAAGTAATACTATAATATTAATACATAATTCATTAACTTACCTGAAGTCCCTGGTATGCAGTCCTCCTTATCCATGCGCTCTTCATGAGTAAAACCCGTACTTTTCGAATTTTTGCTTGTTTCTTCCACAAGTTTTAACATAAGCTTTGATCGTCCTGTTTTCATTGTGGCACACCTTTTAATATAATATGTAAAAAAACTAGGCACGCAGTAGCTAACAAACAGGCAAATAAAGTAAAACTAGTGCAATTGTATAAGAAAAATCTAATCCGCTGCAACGCGTGAGCGAGTTTGACGAAAAGTGACGATTGCGCGGATTCGTCGGGAGTGGGAGAGGATGGCGGGAGATCCCCCGCGCGTCGAATAATGACGAGTATATACAAACGTCATTTTACTATGAGTGCCTATCAAATCCGTCTATTTACCGACTGATTATTTTGAAATCCGAAATACATATAATTTTTTCTTTAATGTAGTAATAATATTTAGGCAATATAGTATCCAAATATGGTAAAAAGTGAATTTCGTGTTTTTTTTTAGAACCGTCATTATTCTACGATCATGACGAAATGTCTATCGCTTAGACAATTTAAAGATAAGTTGTTCGTCTTTGCTATTCTATAACTTTCGCTGGGTGAAAGTTTACGGAAGGTCGCACAATTATACAAATTACCGTGTTTATTCTTACATAAAACACAGGCGCTATGAGGCGATGAAGGCACTGCGGTTACGTACGTCAGAGACCCAGTAGTCCTAGTTGATGAGATCTGTCTGCGATCGACACATTTCTTAACTTCTTGTTAGACATTCGGGGAGCGCTGTATTACTTTAATTTGATCTCGTACAAAGGATGCTAATGAGTCGAATGACGGCAACTCAGAGCTACGATGCTCCATTTCAAACACACTCACGGTGTCCGAGTCTAGTTTCTTTACGGCGATATGGAGAAACACCACGTCCATAAGGTCATTAAATTTCAGGTTCTTGAGTGCAGCCACCGATGCCACAAATTTATCTAAAAACTGCTTTAAGCCAGTGATGTTCGCGTATGATATAGCTTTAAGATCGAATATCTGGTCTAAATATGAAGAGGCTAACATTCGCTTATATTCATATTTGTTTTTAAGCGTTTCAAATATTAACGAATAATTGTTTGCTGTTGGTGTGAAACCCGAACAAATGGACTGCCCCTACCACTCAATTTACTAATTAAATAATACAATCTTTCAGCGTCCGATAACGATGGATTATTATGTATGGTGTTTTGAAAGTTGTTAATAAACAACGGCCAAGTTTTAATATTTCCATTGAATACCGGAATATCTATGGGATTTAAGTGGGCGTACCTGGATTTCTGGTTTTTCTTCGCTTTGGACTGGAGACTGTAAGAGCTTTGCCGTTCTTTTTACGCGACACAACATATCTAATATAGATAACGCGCGTCGACTAGATAAGAATTTAAAACTCGTATTATTTTTTACAAATAGTGGGTATGATAAATAAGATTAAGCAGATCTAACTATTTAAATAAATAAGTCAATTTACTTATGCGAATAAACTAACAAAATTTTAAATTTAAACTAAACAAAGCTACATAAATCTATCCAATATTAAATAAGAATGCATTGTCTAAGGAATTAGTTCAGCAGTTCGACTAGATGAGGCTACAAAGCACCATCCACTCGAATGACCAGAAAATGGTTGGGCGGCGGGCCTTAGGGTTCTCGAGTTCGATTCCCCGGTCGAGCCTTTGACCCTATTACGCGAGATGTTAACTGATGGACTGTATACGCGGGATGCTTCTTCTGCCTCAACAAGATGGCGGATGTGGCACGAGGTTCCTTGACAATGCACTCGCTCTTCCGGAATCTATTGCTTACCAAGGTTATGAAGGAATCCTGCTTAAGCACGTTAGGAGAAATGAAATAGAGCGGGTTAACTAACAAACACACTTACCGGGGTGTGACTTCGATGCGGCTGAGGTGCTTCCGTTGCGGTGATGCGACGTGAGGTGGATTCTTCTGGGGCGCCCCAGAGATGCGATCAAGGCCAGTGGTGCGAAGGAAGAGAGCGATATCTCACACTATGTGAGGCGGTTACTTCTGGAGTGCGACTGCTCCAGGTTGGTGCGGTTCAGACTAGCGGCGCGTGGGCAAGAGCGCGTGCCAAGAGAGCACTCGAGGGCAGCGCGCGAGCTTATATTGCTTCGGCTTTCCTATCAATGCATCTCGGTTGGGCGCGCTTCTCATTGGTCGAAAGAATCACGCCACCGTCTAAAATCTCCTCTTTCCCCTCTCATCCCCCCCCCCTCTTTCAGTGTATACGGAGGGACAATAGGTCAAAGGAAGGATAAACACTTGGCAAAATATACCCTCGAATAAAATTAAAATACACGAATCGTTTCCGCGTAACCACATTTTATGATCTACTAATTCAACAGAACAACACTCGATTACGTTGGGGATATTAAATTTACGAATGGATTTTATTACGGTAAAGTTCATATAGTGCAACCTTAATATAACGTACCTCAGTATAACGACTTTAGCAAATTCTTCGTAAAGTTACAGCCTTTATACGTCCCATTGCTGGGAACAGGCCTCGCCTCATTTCTGAGAGGGTTTTAGGGCAAGGAAGTGTCCGCCGCGCAGCCCCAATACGTGTTGGCGAACTTCACATGTCTTCGAAATATTTTTTTTATTCCTCAGACATGCAGGTTTCCTCAGGATATTTTCCTTCACCGCTGAACACGTGGTAAATCGTCATTTAAAATTGCAGTTAACAATTTCATTGGTGCCAGAGGGATCGAACCCGGGTTACTCGCGTTCTGTTAATCTGAGCTACCACGGCTCTTCGCTCTTCACGCTCTTCTACGGCGCCTCGGTAAATTCTTCGTAATCCCCTTGAATTGTCCATGAGAGTCAATGTAAAATATACCTTTACATTGCAAACATTTCTTGCGAACAACCTTATATAACTTCTTTATGACGAACTTTAACTATCAATAAAAAGTGTAAATACTTCTTTCAACGAATTTTGTCGACCCAAGACCTTTATATAAAGTTTATTAGTAGAAGTTGCAAATAAAATTATTTTTTTACCTCTTTATAATTTTTGTAGACCAACCTAACATCAGCATAACAAACCTCAGTTCAACGAATTACTTGATATAACGAATATTTACTTGTTCCCTTCCGATTCGTTATATCGAGGTTGCACCTGTATTACAACAACACGAATAAGATATCTCTAACGATGGTGATGATGATTACGTCTCGTGACTTTGATAATTAATCAGTGATACATGTAGATATCTGTAGACCATAGCATCTACTTACTATCAGGTGGACTATGTGCTTGTTTGTTGCATATATTATATTTAAAAAAAACACTAAAAATTTATAGTTGGATGGGATGGATGGGTAGGATCCTCCTTTAAAATTGATATAACAGATGCGTTATCATTCATTGAGCATTTCAACGGAGTGTTTTATTAAACTTGAATGAAATGGAATGTCTGGTTCTCACTACTCGAGCAAGAAACATATATTATACTCCGTAAGAACGTGGTTTTTTCTGGCTGATGATGGTCCCAAATATGTTTGCTGATGAGGAAGATTTTGGTACTAAGTTGAACTAACTCCTCAATTGTATTTCAGAACTTCCGAGTTTTTCAAACGTAAAGGAAAATACTTCTTATTTATACTTAAATTTTCCCTCGCTAAACTAATAACGAGTCTAATCACGACGTCACTACAATATCGAAGAAAACTGCGAAGCTTTTTTACTGAAGAAACGTTCCATAAAGAACTAAGTTTAGGTTTGAGAACTAAACAGGCGAACTCTTCTGCTGCTAATAGTGTGGAATACAAATAATTTAAATTTATAAGTTTTAAATAATTACTTTCTTTTTTTAGATTACAGTAACTAGG